GATTTCTCGCTTTCTGTCTCTATGTCTGTCTGGTGAGCGCACGCACCCTATAGCAAAAAACCTCTCCAAAAAAAAAAAAAAAAGTGGAAAAGCCAACTGCCGGGTCCAGGACTTGAACTACGGTCAACCATGTGGCAGTCCAGCACCCCAACCACCATACCACCTGCTATCCCCTTAATTTAATTTAATTTTATTCTTTAATTTGCCAGAGCAAGACAAAGAGAGATAGGCATGTATGTACATATGTATGAGAGAGAAAGCACTTCCCATGGGGCATGGTCATGCCATAATCCCGTCTCCTCCATTTTTAATTTTATTTCTTGATTTTAGAGATGCACAAGCACCCAGCAAGTTTCTGAAGCTGTTGGTCCAGGATTCAAACTATATGGTCGAACATGTGAGATGTAGCCGATGTAACCACCAAGCCACAGGCTGGCCCAATGCTTGTCATTTTAAAACAATAACAATAATAATAACAATAATAAGCCCCTGACTACTACACTTTAAATTTTTAATTTATGATATAGTACTTTGGAGGTATGAACATGGAATAGGGATTACGACTTAAGTATATACTTTTTGAGCTCTTATGTTTACACTGATATTTGAAGCATACAGCAAAATATAGAGAATAAAATAATGAACACCTGTGTACCTACCACTGAGTTTGCCACATGCTTCAGATGTTTTATTGTTTCAAAGAAATAAAAAGATTACATGTACTATTTTTCATCTTTTTAAATTAAAAAAAATTTTTTTTGAAGAGGTTTTTGCTGTAGGGTGTGTGCGCTCGCCAGAGAAACACAAAGAGAGAAATTACCCCCTGCAGGGACGGCCATGCAATCCCTTCTCCATTCTCCTCTCGGGATCTTGGACACGCACGCAAACGCGCTCAGTGTGAGTTTAAGCCACTGGGTCTGGGACTTGAACCACGGTCTACTACATGGGAATTCAGTGACATAGCTATTACGTCAACTGCTGGTCCTTCATCTATTTTTTTTTTTTTGGAGAGGTTTTTGCTATAGGGTGTTTGCACTTGCCAGAAAGACAGAGACAGAGAGGCAGAAAATGAGAAATCAACCCACAGGGGAGATGGCCACACTGCAATCCCTTCTCCTCCATTCTCCTCTCAGGATCTTGGGCACGCACACACACATGCCTGATGTGAGTTTAAACCACCTGGTCTAGGACTCGAACCATGGTAGGCTACATGGGAGTTCAGCGACATAACCATTACGCTAACTGCTAGTCCCGTGCAAGCATTTTTCTGACTGAGCATTCTCCTGTCCTTTGGGTAGATAGCCAGGAGTAGAATTGCTGGATCATATGGTAGTTCTATTTGTAGGTCTTTGAGAAAGCTCCATATTGTTCTCCACAGTGGCTGGACCTATTTACATTCCAACCAACAGTGTAGGAGAGTTCCCCTTTCACCACAACCCTCCCAAAACTTACTATTTTTTATATTTTTAATCTGCCATTCTGTCAGGGGTTAGAGGGTATCTCATGATGATTTTAATCTGCATGTTAAGGGATGTTGAGTATTTCCTCATATGCTTTTTGGCTGTTCATACGTCTTCCTTAGACAGTTTTTAAAAAATATTTATTTATTTAATTCCATTTGTTGTTATTATTTTTCAATTTGACCAGACACAGAGAGAGAGATAAAGGGAAAGTGAGAAAGCAAACTGCCAGGTTTGAGACTCAAACTGCCCTTGGCCATGTGGGAATTCAGTGCCCTTAACCACCATGCCCTTTTTTTTAAAAAAAAAAAAATTTTAAAATTCCATCTGTTGTTATTATTTTAAAATTATCCTTGGAGAGTTTTTTATTCAACTCATCTTCCTATCTTCTAATTAAGTTAATCTTTTTTTTTTTTCCAGGTAAGCCGTTTGAATTCCCTGTGTATTCTGGTTATCAGTCCCTTATCTGAGGCATAGTTTATAAAAATATTCTCCCATTTTGAGGGTTGTTGATTCACACTAGTTACTGTGTCCTTTGCTATGCAGAAACTTCTTAATCTGATGTAATCCCACTTATCTATTTTTAGAATTATTGCCTGTGCTTTGGGGTCTTATTTAAGAAGTCTTCGCCTATCCCAGTGTCTCTCTGAGTTTCTCCAGTGTTTTCCACCAGTAGTTTTATAGTTTGAGGTCTTAGGTTCAGATCTTTGATTCATTTTGAGTTGATTCTTAATGGTGAAAGATGGAGATACAGTTTCATCTTTCTGCAGGTGGATACCCAGTTTTTCCAGCACCATTTGCTAAAGAGGTTTTCCTTTTGCTACTGGATTGACTGGTATCCCTTGTCAAAAATCAGTTGGCTGTATGTTTTGGAGTCTTTACTGTATTCTATTGATCCACATGTCTATTTTTGTGCCAATACATGCTGTTTTGATTATCACAGCTTTATATTGTATTTTGGGTTCTTGCGCAGGATTGCTTTTTTCTTTTCTTTTGGAAAAGTTTTTGCTATAGGGCACGTGTGCTCACTAGAAAGACAGAGAGACAGAAAGCGAGAAATAACCCCCTGGGGGGATGGCCACATCACAATCCCTTCTCCATTCTCCTCTCAGGATTTTGGGCATGCACGCACACATGCCCGGTGTAAGTTTAAGCCACCAGACTGGGACTTGAACCATGGTCGACTACATGAGAGTCCAGTGACATAACCATTACACCAGCTGCTGGTTCCTGTGTGGGATTGCTTTGGCAATACGGTGTCTTTTATGATTCCAGACAAATTCTATGATTATCTTTTCTAGATCTGTGAAGAACGTCTCTGATTATTTTATTGCAATTGTGTTAAATAGGTAGATTAATTTGGGTAGAATTGCCATTTCGATTATATTCTTCCAATCCAGGAACATGGGATGTCCTTCCATATTTTTGTGTCTTTTTAAATCTCTTTTTAAAATGATTTTCATAGTTTTTCTCATGAATATCTTTGACTTCCTTAGTTAGATTTATCCCTAGGTATCTTATAC